CACGTGGTCTTCAATATCATCCTTGTTTTCCTTCACTAATTTACTTAGAAAACCAAAAATCTTTTATTTCTGCCTGCACAATACATTTCTCAAGTTCATTGTGCTATAGAATTTCAAAGTTATTGCTGCTCCCTCTTTCAGTGGTGAGTGAAAGTATGAGTGGGTGCCATTCATATTTTATAGAACACTGCTCCTGTTTTGAACAGATTTACCTCTGGCTGGTCTAAAGTGGATCAAATCCTTCATCTTATAACGGCCCTTGTGAACTGTGTAGATGTTGATGGGTACTGCATCCGGATGTCCAGTGACTGCTGCCAGTTCTGTATTATGGCCAAAGATCACTATAGTACAACTTAAGTGATCTGAAATCCTCGTCTTCCTTGAATAAACCCTGTGCTGTCAGTAAAAATCCAGCATCAACTTTTTTCAGCATCTAGTATTTTAAAAGTGCCTAAGTTAGTCTTCTGAGGTACTTTAAAAAAGAAACTGTAATCCTGTTGGTCTGGTGCACAAAAAATTCTTCAAGATTTGACTTTTTTTTTTTTTACCAGATTGCCTTATCTCAGGGCACATACTTATGGTATGTTAACTATAAATACCTCCTTTTCTCTTGAGAAAGCCACATGCCAAAAATTCAGGATTTTAGATGCATTTTTCAAATTGCTTAGAAAAGGTTCACTGTGAAATTCAGTTTTCTCATTTTCCTCAAAGAGAAAGTCTAACTACTGTGAAGAACAACTGAAATTAGATGCCTCAGACAAATGAAATCGATAGGAGGGATGTATCCATTAATTATGCTTTTCATTTCTTTCATAGTAATTCAGTCTCAATAAAGTCATACGTAATGTAATTTTCAAAACTATCATTCTGCTCCTGTTTGGATTTTTTCCTGTCTTGACTGCTTTCAATTACTTTCCATTCTTAACTTCAATTTAGTTTCATCATTTTCTTTTCCTCTGTAAAGTTCCTCAGATATATTCTGAGTAGAGAATTAAAACGAAAGGAAAATGTCATTAAATTGGTAGTTCTAATTCAAAACTATGATGCAGGTGGCTAGCAAGTGTTAACTCAGCTGCTACTGTGCCATCTAGATGCGGAAGAAGGGAGCCAAGGAAGAAGAGCAGGTGAGAAAGGAGCCCAGTGATATCGCCAGGATTCCACTGCACGCGACCTATGCTGTGTAGGTGTTGTGGATGTAGTGGAAGAAGAGGTAAAACCTCTAAAAGCATGATGACGGTCTTTAAAGATCTTGATTTCCCCCTTTCTGTAACTTCCAATTGTTTGACATCTGTGTTTGTCACCAAATTTTAAGTTCCATAAAGGCAACAACAGTGCCTACCTTATTTACTGTTGTAACTCAAGTTACCTAGCACTGTGTCTGTAGTACTCAATAAATATTGGCTGAATCAATAAATATAATTAAAAAAATTCTCATCTAATGATCATTCATCCCTAGATCCAAGTGAAATATGCTTATCTTTCAGTTTTCTCTTCTAATCATAGATTTTATGGTTCAATTCAATTAAATCATTGAGAAAGTTGGGTGGGGGATATGAGGAGATGCTGGCTAAAGGGTACAAGCCTTCATTTATATTGTAAGATAAATAAGTTCTGGAGATCTGATGTACAGCATAGTGGCTATAATTAAAAGAACTTTATCATATACTTGAAGTTTGCTAAGAGAGTAGATCATAAGCATTCTTACCACCAGAGAAAAAGGTAACTATGAGAGGTGATAAATACGTTAATTAATTTGATTGTGGTAATTATTTCACAATGTACACACATATTCAATACCATTATACACTTTAAATATATACAATTTTAATTTTTAATTATATTTTGATAAATCTGGGAAAAATTAGGAAAAAAAATAACATTAATTATCTCAGCTCCATAACCCTCTACCACACATATCTTTCTAATGTGTAATCCTGTACTTCCTACCTATTTGCTTTTTTTCACTCTGGTCTAAGCTGCAAATGCTATAGAAATCTTATAGCAGTATTAATGATTAATATTATAAATACAAGATTTTGCTGGACCCCTGATGCTGCTTAGCTTCCCTTTTATTTAATTTATTAATTATTTTATTTTTCCACAAGCCATTGCTCAAAATGGTCTAAGCTAACCTCCAATTCCTTCATACTGAAATTAAGCCCTTTTATTTAGATTTCTGCCTTACTACTCTACTAACTCTATACTCTCAAAGGCCATTGCATAATTAATTCCATTGCTAAAAACTTAGCTGAAAGTCACTACCAGTAAGAGACTGCATTTTTTACATAAAAAGGTAAAGAGGTCAATGTTATTATAATCCCACTATCATCATCCTAAACAATCAATTATTTAAGTTAGATTATATGATATTTGTTTTTCTTTTTTAAAAGATTTTATTTATTTATTTAATTTTAGAGAGAGGGGAAGAGGGGAGGGAGGAAGAAGAGATAAATATCAATGTGTGGTTGCCTCTCATGCATCCCTACTGGGGACCTGGCCCGCAACCCAGGCATGTGCCCTGACTGGGAATCAAACCAGTGACCCTTTGTTTCGCAGGCTGGTGCCCAATACACTGAGCCACACCATACATATTGTGGCAAATGGCAAGATTTCATTCTTTGTGTGTGTGTGTGTGTGTGTGTGTGTGTCTTTATCCATGCACCCACTAATAGACACTTAGGTTGTTTCCATATCTTGGCTACTGTAAATAATGTTGTAATGAACATGGGGGTGCACATATCTTTTCAAGTTAATATTTTTGTTTTCTTTCAACTTTATTCTTTGGCATATAGAAATCCTGTTGTCTCAGCATCATTTATTGAAGAGATTATTCCTTTCTCATTAAATGGACTTGGCACCATTGTCAAAATCAACCGGCTGTAGATGTATGGACTTATTTTTGGGCTCTCAATTCTACTTTGTTGACCTATATGAATATCCTCATGTCAGAACCATACTGTTTTAATTATTGTAGGTTTGTAGTGAACTTTGAAATCAGGAAGTGTGAGTCCTCTGACTTAGTTGTTCTTTTTCAATAATTTTTTAAATTGAAATATATCTACAGAACAACCACTGAGTGGTCTTAAGCTGTATTTCCACAAATTCCTAATGGAATGGAAATAAGGTTGACAGAAAATAAACAGTTTCTAAAAAAGAAAGGTATAACTGACATATTGTGTAAATTTAAACATGTTACCCTTTTAATAAATTTACATATTGTAATATGATTGCCATTGTGGTAATTTATACCTCTATCATTTTACAGAATTATCATTTCTTTTTAATGGATGGAATAATTAAGTTCTAGCCTTAGCAAGTTTGAAGATTATAATACAAGTATTGTTGTCTATATTCACTATACGGCACATTAGACCTTTAGGACTTACTTGCTACTGGTTGCGAGCTTCGCACCCTTAAACAACATCTGTCCTACCCCCCCGTTCCTCGGCAATCACCAGGGTTTCTTTTAAGCTTCTACATGTAAGTAATATTATTACTTGCTATTTGCTTTCATTGTATTCCCTTTTGTACAATTTGAGTTTTTTTTATTACCGACATATACCGCTTATTTTAAAACAATAAGTTAAACAACAAAAAGCTTTCCTCTCACCATATTTTGCCATGTATTATGAGCACTTTTTTGCCCAAATTTTTGAAGAAAAAATAAGGATGTGCATTATATATGGGTAGTACTAATTCCATATCTATGTGTTTTTAATTCTTTTATTTATGCTTATGTGTTAATTATAACTCTAGAAAGCAACAACATTACCCATATGCAAAGTAATACCCTGGAATTCAATAATTGGTTTTATTTCTAAATATAAATAAAAAATTGAATTCAAAAATTAAAATGAAAGATTTTTTCCCTGAAAGTTTGGGCCAAAAACATGGGTACACATTATACATGGCAAAATACGGTAATATCTAGTTGAGATAGGTTTCACTGAGGAAATGAGAACTTTAAACAGGGGAAGGAAGGAGTAGTAATAGACAACAAAAGTATTTTGGGATAGGCCCATGAAAATGTTTGGGCTAGGGAAAGCAGAAAGAGGGGTACAGTGCAGATGTAGGAGATGCCAGACAAGACTTCTCTGAGAAACTCTTCTCTTCATCCTAACTGTACTCTAAATGGCACTCACTTTCCATCTTTTAATGTAGTTCAGCTACATTATGGAAATCCACTTGTGACCCTGACCTGGGGATATAACCACAAATTACAACACTATTTGTGTGGAAAATTCATTGTAAGTTCCACTCAAATGGTTTAAAAACATTTTGAAACATTACTCACTCTAAGTTAGGATAGGTATATTAACATAAGACCATAAACTCCCAATGGGTAGAAACTTCATTTTCCTCACATCTACCCATCCATCATATTGTGTGGCACAAAGAAAAAACAGCTGAAAGGGTAAATGAGCTGAACATATGAATTACTTTGAAAATTTAATCACTGCTTTCCTTAATTCAATTTCTCCAACCTCAGTGAATAAACATTCTTTCCACAATACCTAGGCAGTAGGTTTCTGTAGATAATGGCTTCATTCAAAGGACCTTTGGCAAGACAATATGAAAATGGCTGGTTGCTGGCAGGTAAGCCTTCAAGGTTCCTCTAGTTCCCTTAATTTTCAGGCTTTACTGTGTTCTTAGCTCTTGAACCAGCTATTTGTTAGGCATTATGTTCCCAGACAACATATTACTTCTCCATCCATGTAAATCTAAAAAGAGCTTCTCAGTTTTACCCTAGGCTGGTTTCTCAAGTACAAGTTGGGGAAACTGGCCTCAGTAAGTATTAAAATTAAGCTATCACATATCACCATCATATGAACACTGTAAAACAGATCACAAATAAAGTATTTCACTTCCTTAAGAAAGAATACTTTAACTCAGGTTATAACTCTTTATTAATTTCTGTAAAGAAATAATTTAAATTATCACTAATAAATATGACCCCTCTCTTTCAAGACACGTGTATATTATTTCAAAAACAAACTTACTCATCGTCTTTTGTTGTAGATTTCTTTCTTTTGGTTAAACTGAGATGATTCGATTTTTTCCTTTTTCCTGTATATGTTCAATAAAAAGAAGAACATAAGGGAAAAAATGTCAAATTTTAAATAAAATTCAGATCACCAAATTTTAAATAGAAAATAAAAGGTCAGACAAATAATAGTAGTAAAAAAATCCTGAAATTTGCTATGAGAAAAAAAATTTCACTGTTACAAATAACTTTTCAATAGCTATTTTACTTTTTTCATTTCCTGTTTTCCTATTTTTCATTCATGATATTATAATATAAAAAAATTTTTTTTTTAAAGAGAGAGGGGAAAGGAGGGAGAAAGAGATGGAGAGTAACATTGATGTGAGAGAAAAACGTTGATTGGTTGCCTTCTGTACACACCTGGATGGAGGACTGAACCCGCAACCAGGGCATGCGCCCTGACTGGGAATTGAACCAGCACCCTTTTAGTTTTAGGGACAATGTACAACCAGAGAAGCCACACCAGCCGCAACTAGAAAAACAATCTTTTGAAAAAAATTTTCATTGAGGCTTACAAATTAAAGAGAAAACTCAAGAAACTAAGTTATCCTTCATATGTGTGGAGGGTTAAAAATGTAAGTTTGGTTTCATAGCTCTAGTAGAACTTAATGTTTACACTTATTAGTGGTCAAGGGAACAATGGTTTTATGAGCTAACCATTTAGTTCTTTGTTCTACAATACTTAATAGTACAATACACACTATGTACTTTCAACATATTTGATGTATAGTAAGTATTTCAGGACACATTAGCATAATTAATTCAAGATTCTCAGTGTCTTACATACATGGCCTTGATAAATGTTTATTAAATGAATAAACAAGCAAATGAATGAATAATCCAAACCCTTTACTACTAATGACAAACACTAAAGAGAAATCACTTTTTAAAATGTTTAAATGATGACACTCCCTTCACACTATTACATATTTTTATGTAGTTCCATTTGTTCAACAACTGGCACAAGAACTATTATTAACTCAATGTTCTCCTTACTTAAAAAAAAAAAAAAACTTGTTTGAATATATTGTGAAATATTACCAGACTCTCTAACAGAAATATAATGTAAGCCACTTAACTGTAATTTAAAATATTCTACTAGCAAAATTAAAAAAATAAAAATAAAAACAGAGCCCAAGCCAAGCAACATCAAGGTTTGCTGGCAGCCTCCAGAAACTGAGAGAGAGGCATGGGATGGATTCTCTTTCAGAACCTCCAGAAAGAAACAATCCTGCCAACGCCTTAATTTTGGACTTCTGGCCTCGAGAACTGCAAGAAGATAAACTTCTGCTGTTTTAAGCTCGGGAGAAAAAAGAAAGAAAGAAATAGAAAAGGAAAGGAAATAAACAAGTGAAATAAATTTTAATATTTCACTTAGCTCATTATACCCAAAATATTATCATATTGTCACATTTTAACATATAGAATATAAAATTATTAATGAGATAATATTCCTTTTTTCACACTAAACCTTTGATATGTGCTGTATATTTTACACTTATAGCACATCTCATTTCTGACAAGCCATATTCCAAATGCTCTACATCTGCATGTACTGAACAGTATAGCTGTAGGATTATACCACAGAAGGCTCCAATACTTCCAGATGAAATAAGTTATATAGGTAACATGAAGGCAATTTCTTTAAATTTTCAAGTGTAATTTATTAAATATTAAGAAATATATAATCTGTAATAGACTTTACAATGCTGGTTTGCATTTTTGTTCATTTAATTTTTATTCCATTAATCATACCAGGGGGAAAACTTAAAGTATATTTCCTATGCTCTGGTATTTATAATTTCATTGAGTAAGCTGGTTCAGAAACTGATTAATAATAATTTCCACATTTACCTTGAACCTTATACCTTCTCTGAAAAAACTATATTGTCATCTCAAAATAGACTTTAATGCCAAAAAAACTTGTGATTTAGAAATTTTGCTAAAGTACTAGTTACCTCTCATTTATTAACTTTTCATTACTTGATTTGTCTGCATCATTAAATTACAAACAATAAATTAATATGGTTAAGAGTTTATTTAATGAAAAATGGAAGGATAAAAAGGTAACATTTATGATTTTAGAGAACTCTGGAGAAATAAGTCTATTAAAAGCTGTTTTCTAAAGAAAAAAAATCAAGCTGGAAATGTATGTTTTGTAGAAAACCGCAAAATGAAAGCCCACAGTACACATTAAAGCTTTATTTCAGAAAATCAGTATTAACTAATTTCCTGAATTTTGTACTATGGTGTCTGCATTCAATAAATCCCCACAATTAAATATTAAAATTACTCTGTTCTTTTAACTTGTATTTTTCACAGTTTAGCACTAGTCAGTAGTATTAGGTGAGAAGTGAAAAAAGAATGCTTTATTTAAATTTTTACCCATTCAATACTTTTCTAAACATTTTTATTACTGTAAAAGGATTAGTCAAATCTCATCCTATAAAATCAATAGGATTAATCTCAATCTTCCCATGGAAGGACTTAAGTTTTTACTATATATTTCCAGTTGTTAAATAGGAAGAGTTTTAATGTCTCTAAGAATAATACTTGCATCAGTTATCAGAGACTGTTAATAGATGCTAATATATCATTGAGAGTCTTCCAGTTACTCAATAACTACTTTCCTTTATTTCATTCCATTCTATTAGCAATTAACATGTTAAAGGGCTATATGGTCTTTTTCTTGATAGGTTATATATAACCAACAGTTGTGTACTTGACTACCTTTAGATGCAATTTTGCAAAACTGTGGTAATAAACATAGCATCACTAAATTTGGACTATATTCAAAATTGTATTTGGACGTCCTAGTAAGGCTCCAGGGGGCCCTTTCGTTAACTAAGGAAGATAGCTTTCAACAGATCATAACATTTAAAAGTACAACCGATGATGATGATAACATTTATATAATATTTTTAGGGCTAGGCACTGTTGTTTTTAAATGCTACATATATTAACTAATTAATCTGCACAACTCTGGGGGAGTCACTCTTATTCTTACTTTACAGATGAGGATATAGGGGCACAGAATGGCTACATAATTTACTCAAGGTGGCCCTAAAGCTAGTCGGTGGCAGAGTCAGGGTCTAAACCCAGCCGGCTGGCTGTAAATGTGGTGCTCTTAACCATGATGCTATGCTTATTTATTAATAGATTAATCTAAAGTTCAAACAGGTTTAGGCTAGTATCATGCTGTTTTTAGATACACATACTTTATAGTTGACACACATCTTAGACATCATTTGGTCCCAAACGAAAAGTTATGATTTGAAGAAAATGTTGATTGACCCAAAGGGATTCAAATGATTTGTGTAAGGTGTTACATACTAGTTAGTAACTTTTTCTAAAACAGTTATTTTCATATCAAGTTGGAGCTTGCAGGCTAACAGGCAAATCGAATCCTGTTATTCCTTTAATTAACCAAATTAGTGTTAGTAAACAAGTGTGCAGAATGAAGAATCCCTTTAGAGGAACAATTCATGAAAAATAACAATGTTAATGGTACTTTTTATTTATTTAATTTCATTTTTAAAAAGATTTTATTTATTTATTTTTAGAGAGGGGAAGGGAGAGAGGGAGAGAAACATCAATGTGTGGTTGCCTCTTTCACGCCCTCTGCTGGGGACCTGGCTAGCAATCCAGGCACGTGCCCTAGACTGGGAATCGAACTGGTGACCCTTTTGGTTTGCAGGCCAGCACTCAATCCACTGAGCCACACCAGCCAAGGCAAGTATTTTTTAAATTCAAAATACTTTTACTGAGTCCTATGGAAGAAAATATAATATTCTTAAAATATTATCTATATTGTTGAACAGACAGGTATCAATGAGAAAATTGGAATAGCTTTTTATCTACAAAAACATTTAAGAAGAAACAGAAAAACAGGTTTTAAAATCTTTCATCCGAATTAGATTGTGGACCACATTAAGGATTTGGCTCACATATCTCAAATTGCTCATCTTATATTTAAACTGATATTAGTTTATCAGCTCTTTTGAATTAAATATCATCTGCTCCTTCTCCCACTTAAAGTAAAAATCAGTCTTGCAACCAGATATATTGAAATACAGAACAAATTGACAGTAAATGTTAGGGTGGGGAATAATGGACCGGGGGCGGGGGGGTGGAGAAAGGGAAGGTTTGTCAAGGAACAGGTATAAAGGACCCATGTACAAAGTCAAAAGGTGGTAGGACTGAAGAGGAGGGGGAAGTGGTGGCAGGAAAATGGAGAAAACTGTACTTAAACAACAATAAAAAAAAAATCAGTCTTGCCAGAAGCCATCTGACCACTGTTTTCAAAGAAACTGCTTTTAATTTTGTTGCTTTTCTTTATTATTGCCTTGTTTTCTATTTAATAATTCCCACTTATGTCTTTTATTATTTCCTTTCTTCTTCCTTTTCCAGGTTTGTTCTGTTGTTCTTTTTCTATTTTTCTGAGTTGAATTATTGGCTTATTAGTTTCAATTATTCATCCTTTTTAAATATATGTATTATAAGAATAAAAACTGTTTTGAAATAATGCAGTATTTAGGTATAGATATTTTCCTTTAAGTGCTGAGATGTGTTCATACAATGTCTACTTTATACTTTCCATTAAGATTTTTCTGACCAATGAATTATTAGAAGTTTCTTGGTTTCCTAACACGTGGGCCAAAATTTTTAAATGGTCACCACTTTATTATTGATTCTTAATTACATGGAATTTTCATCAGAGAATGTGATCTCTGTAACAGTAATTTTTAGTATGATGAGACTTCTTTGTGACTCCAAACTGGTTATATATTTGTAAAAGTTCTATGTGTGCTTCATTATATGTGGGTAACACACCTGTTTGACCAGAGGTCATTAGATCAAGCTTGCTAGTTGTGCTCAAGTCATTTATATCCTTCCTAACTTTTTACCCATTCCACAAGTTTCTGAAAGAGGTAGTTTAAGATTTTCCATTTTTAGGGATTAGTGAATCTCTCCTTGTAAGGTTGCTTGCTCTATTTTGTCATGTTTTGTTTGAGTTTCTGTT